GGAAACAGGTCAAATTATAGAATAAAATGGCAGCTTTCTATCTATATGTTTTAAAACTGACACTGGTCAAACTAGAAGAACATCACTTTTTTCAATTATTACATTGTGTGTCTTGTGATTGCTTAGCAAATAGAACATTTTGCCAAGATTAATTCTTTTTTTTTGCGCTAACAAAAACATACATGTATTACGTTGTCATCTGAAGTAATGACAAAGTTATCTCCAAATCAATAGGTCAATTTTTCCATCCATTGTTTGTTCTCAATTTCTATCCAGCTACAAAACAAACAGAATTTTGTCACTGTATATCGAACAAATGGGAAGAGCTAGTAAAGGAGAAAGTGGAAAATGCACCTCGGGCCACTCTGGACTGGCTGAGGACTGGCACTGAAGAGGTGACAGGGTGGGAGTTTTGAGTAATGTACTGTATATATTTATTTTATAAAACAACTTGTGATCACATCATAATAAACACAAAAAAGTCATACTTTACTAAGTTTTCGTATCCAGTACCAATGCTGACCTCCCTTAGTGTTGCCAAAACACCCTGGATTTCTTACAGAATACATTCAGTAAGGTGCTGGAAAGGTTACTTAGGGAGTTTGGTCACTGCTGTCTCAATTGCATCACACAATTTCTACAGATTTGGGAGACATACATTTTATAGTATAAACCTCCCTTTTCATCTCATTCTAAATATATGAATCATTCCTTACTTTCACCTGGTAATCCTTCCAGTAACACACACCCTGTCCTACAGTGACAACACTTTCTTCCTGTATCAGGAACAACTCCACCTCTCATCTCTATAACATGGGGCAGGTGTTCTGTAGTCCACAGTGGTGAACTGGGCAGGGCTGACACCATTAAGATACGACTGCAGAGTGCAAAGGAAAGCACTCAATGTTTTTTGCGCTTATCGAACAGATATAACAAAGCACTTTAAATGGACTATTTAACAAACCAAAAGGAGCAAAGAACATACTTCATTGGTATGGTTTACATTAGGGATGCACCTTTACCAATACTAGTATTGGTACCGATACTGAGTATTTGGCCGAGTACTCATACTCACCCAAGTGCTCCACGATAGCGGAACTTCCGGTTACAGGGAGACATCCTGCAGTGCCGCGAGTGAACATGGAGCCGACTTCCCGGGTAGTGACTCCTCATTGGCCTGAAAACCGACTCGATACTGATTGGCCGGAAATCCGGTTTCCCGGCCAATCGGCATCAAGCCGGCCAAACAGCATGGAGCCGGCTTCCTGGGCAATCAAGAAGCCGGGCGGTGTGTCATAACCCTGATTGCCCAGGAAGCCGGTTCCATGCTAGCGGAAGTACTCAGTATCGGCTAGTACCAAAATATAAATATCGGTACTCGCCAAAAAAAACGGGATCAGTACATCCCTAGTTTACATAGACTAACCCATTATTATACCCATTAATTACCTGCATTTTTTACCCAATTACTGTGTACTGTTAGATATTAGGACATAGTGGAACTAGGGCAACTGAAGGATGAGAGGCTGCAAAAACCTGCTTCACATATTCTATTAGTTTATATTGTCTTGCATGCAGTAAAGGTGATTTAAATGTTTGCAAATCATTTTGCAAATGCCAGTAACAAAAAATATAATAATAATGAAACTTGAAACTGAAATGCAAAAATGCCAAAGATTTCCTAACAACCAGTATAGTAAATTGTATTGAGGTCATTAATAGTGTACACAGAGAAATGCCAGAGAAAAGCTTACATGAAGATATGAACACACTAATCAAAAGTTTCCCATAAATGTGGCAAATTGGCTAATCAACAAAATTAGGTTTTATAGGGTGAGAGCTGTGTAAAGCTGACCAGACACTTATAGATTATCTGCAGATTTTCTATGGTCAGATGGAAAAAGTGCAACAGATTCCTCCATCTACACTGAACTGTGTGGATGGAGGAATCACTCACACCGGCAAACTTCAGTATCTTGCTAGTCGGCCCCACTGGCTGTCAAAATACCTGAACAATCTGATTGGATGCAGGCATTGTTCAGGTGTTTTGAGAGCCAGAGCGGCCGACTAGCCCCCTTTTTTTAGTTTTTTTTTGTTTTGCGTTTCCTTTTTTTTTTAAAAGCATATTATGACCACACCACACCACTGCTTTTGTACCTCCTTAGTTCTTAGCAACACTGCAAAATAGGCAGATTACATCTAACACTCTGAAAAGTCATGTAATATGGGGGCATAGCGATAGCTATAGACATTAGGTACCATTCATTAGGCACCATTCAGGTGTAGAGAATTATGTATTCTGTTTATGCATTCTGCAAAGCACTATGCAAATGATAAAATAAATGAATACAATGCCATAGATTAATCTATACATGTGTAATGAATGAAATATTTCCTGAAGCAGAGCAGTACTGGTGACCAAGACAATTAATCTTTTAATCTGATTTAGAACAGAAACATGCTTTCTACTCATTTCAGCTTCTTCCCATGCCTGATCTAATCATACATAAATCAAGGCGCTTTTGGTGTAGGTAGTATGCTGTACGCACAGCAGGCTCTTGGTGTAGTGTAATTCTGAGGACCTGTATTAAGAAGTAATCAAGCAATTTGTGGGGTCTCACAATAACTGTTTGCGGCACCGTCAAAATAATACAATTGCCGGTTTTGTTTAGTCACAGTGTGTTACCTGCAATTGTATTATTTTAGCTGTGCTGCAACCAGTTATTTTGAGACACAACAGATTCTTTCCTATTACAGGTTCACTACAGGAACAGGCTACTGACAATACATGTGAATAAGCTATACAAGTGCTTTTGCGCTGCCCCTTTATAGCTGCCATAATGAATAACTCTTTCCCTGACATACACAGAAAGGGTAGTAGCTGTCCAGTTCACACATGCATCCCATGAAGTTCAATATTGATTTTGCATGAGAGAAGCACAGTATTAGATTATTGCAGCCTAGTTCATCCAGTTTAAAAGTCTACTCATTAGTGGGAAAGCCACATTTTATGGAGGTTTTTAGAAAAAAAGCTGAACTCATCAAAAATCAAGACCTGGCTTTTAGCAGCAGTATGGCGAGTCCTAAATTCAAGTCCCATCAGGGAATAGAGTCTGTATGTTCTTGTGTTTGCAAAAGTTTGTTGTACGTTTCCACTAATATATAACCATATTGGTATGTTAATTGCAGTCTACTTAATTAGACCTAGAATATGCCTAAGTGCTTGAATGACAGATAGTTACCTAGATTTTAAAGGTGACATACAATCTATGTATATTAAAATAAAAAAAATTAGAAGAGACATTGGCAAAATACTTATCTCCCCTCCACTATCAAGTAATTCAAAATACTAACAACATTCAAAGCCATCTACAACTCCACCTATACCTCATCTCAAAATATCACACAAACCGTCCTCTCCGCTCCTCACCAGACCTCCTGCTCTCTAATTACCTCCTCCCACGCTCGCCTCCAGGACGTCTCCAGAGTGCCCCCCATCCTCTGGAACTCCTTACCCCAATCTGTCCGCTTATCTCTGTCCACCTTCAGGCGTTCCCTAAAAACCCCTCTCTTCAGGGAAGCCTATCTCATATCAACAGAACTGCCCTTTTACTTCTTCCAATAACACAATTTAAACAAAACAATTATTACTGTTTGTATCACTTGCCCCTCCTACTAGATTGTAAGCTCTCACGAGCAGGGCCCTCCTAACCCTATTGTACTGAAATTGTATTTAGGGATGCACCGATATATCGGCCGAAAATGGCACTTTTGGCTAAATGCCGAAAGTGCAATTTTCCTGCCGATACATCAGCACATCCCAGGTTTCTTTCCTCTCTGCTGGGCGCTGCTCTGTGTCCCAGTGGGGAAGAAAGTGACAGCCGGCCGAGCGCTGCGGGAGGAAAGCGGTGTGAGCGGCCGGTGTCTCTCCTCCCACACTGCTTGGCCGCCTATAACAGTGCGGCAGAGCGTTGTGGGGGCGGAGACAGCGCTGTCACAGTAGGCTGGGCTCTCCTCTCGCACCGCTCACCGTATCAGTTTCGGCCTGACAATTTTTTTTAACTCGGTTTCGTTTTTCGTTTTTTAAATCTCTATTTCGGTGCACCTCTAATTGTATTGTATTGTAACTGTAATGTCTCCTCCATTTTGTAAAGCGCTGCGCAAATTGTTGGCGCTATATAAATCCTGTATAATAATAATAATTTACCAATGCCCATCAGTTGATCAATGCTGCCATTATGTTAGGGGTCTGTTCTTAAACCTATCTGTCAAGCAGACTACAGATCCACTCTAAAGGATCAAACCACCCAATATTGATATCTCAGTTACTGTATACATAGGTTATGGTGATCTGGTCACCCTTTGGTTTCTTATATTGCTTGTGAATTTTACTGATGAGATCACCCTGCCATATTGTTCCTGTTCATCCTATTGCTCCCTCCATATTATAAAATAAAGATCCTTTCATAAAGGTTATGCATGGTGTGTAGACCCAGAAAATCAAGAGATCTTGACAAAATAAGTGTAATAAACAATGGCTAATGTGTGATTTGCACTGGAACAATGGCTAATGTGTGATTTGCACTGGAACCACTGTGCATAGTCTAGAGCAGCCTTTCTCAACCAGGGTGGTGTGGCACCCTGCAATGCCTTCTGGCTTTCTCAAAATTTTGTGGTAGTGGGACTGTGATGTGAAAGGGGGGAACTCTGATATGAAAGAATGACTTCTGATGTGAAAGAGGGGCTCCTAATGCAAAGGGTGACTCTGATGTGAAGCGAGGGAATCTTGATTTGAAGGGGGGCACTTCGATATGAAGGGGGAAACCCACTTTTTTGTATGTTTTTGAATATATAAAATATATGACATTTTAAACTGGGGTGCCTTGAGATTTTGCATCATTTTAAAGGGTGCCATGACTGAAAAAAGGTTGAGAAACACTGGTCCGGAGCTAAGAGACTAAATAGGAACATTCCATAAAATGGCTATATAAATGGCTTACCTTGACAGGTCCTCCAATTTGGACTGAGCAAACTCTAAACTCTTCCTTTCTACATGCTCATGAGGAGTGTGAGCCAGAAGCTCATGAAGAGTTATAATGTACCGAGGAATCTAGAGGGGGAAGAAGCAGCTAAAATATGAGATTATCAAAGTTTGCAGCCATTACATGGCTCTAATTGTACTCTTTAGCCAATTTTGTTGAACAGGTGCTTTTGCATGTGAGATCAAAACATTGATGCCGCCTGGGATAAGGACACACTAAGTGCTGGTCCAGCTACTAAAAGAGATCTTGCCAGGATTGTCTGATACAATGCACACAAGAATGTCATGCTAGGGAAATTCTTAATTTAGAACATGGCAAATAGCTCATAATCACTGATCACTTTTTTATGAGTTCTTTGTTGCCATTAAGGAGATTCACCAGTACTAAAGTAAGGAAGTAAGGAGTAATTTGGTGCTCGTCTAAGATCGATTTTCCTCTTACTTCCTGTTTTTTCTACAGGACAGGAAGTGAAAGTAAACCTTCCTGTTGGAACACTGATGGCAAACACCCCC